AAAGAACCCTGGTAGGGGTGAATTGGAAAAAGTAGAGAAATGTAGTATTTCTTGCCTGCTGTACTCACTGTAGCTGTGAGAGAATCGGCTCTTTTAACCATTGGATAAGAAAGGAAATATTATCTATGAAGGAATGTCTATTAGGTTGATTTTGACATCCTAGACACATTGAACTCCTTGCACTGTTAGTGACAGAAACCCATTAGAACCTTAAGTAGCTGTCTGAAATAAAAACAGCTCTCAGGTGATGAACCACCTAATCTCTCTGGGTATTTAGATGTAGGTCAGTCACAGGAGTATTAGGTGTAAAGCCCCGTGCTTCTGGGTAAAGCCTCCATTACCGGCTGCACAGAGGCCACAGGGAGCTTTTCCTGCAGCCCGGAGAAGCTTCCTAAGTGTGGGTGCCACCTTGTGGGACACATGTAGAACTACGGCACTATCTTCTCCAAGAAGTAGCAGGATAGTCCCTCCCACTGGTGTCATTCCAACGGTGTTGCATACAATTTGGCTGTACATTTGGCACGCAGTACAATGAAGGAATCAAAGACCAGGGCCACATACAGACTCGAAAGAAATGAAAACAGGGACTCCCAACAGAAACTTGTACACGAACGTTCACAGCAGCACTACTCACAACAGCTCAACGGTGTAATCAACCCAAATGTCCATCAATAGATGGACAGACAAAATGTGACATATCCATGCAATGGAATATTACTCAGCCATAAAAAGGAAGGAAGTACTTATGTATTTGCATATGGATGAACCTTGAAAACATGATGCTGAGTGAAAGAAGCCAGACACACCAGGACAAGGACTGTATGATTTCACCTACAGGAAATGTCCAGAACAGGCAAATTTATAGAGAGAAGGCTGATTGGTGGGGACCCTGGGGAGGGACCAATGGGGAGTGACTGCTAATTGGTGGGGTGCCCTTTTGGGATGATGAAAATGTTTTGGAACCAGATACAGGTGGCAGTTATACAACATTGTGAATTTACTAAATTCAACCAAATTGCTCACTTTAAAACATGAAATTTGGGCACGGTGTTTCACACCTGTATTCAGAGCACATTGGGAGGCCAAAGAGGGTGGATCACCTGAGGTCAGAAGTTCAAGACCAGCCTGGCCAACATGGTGAAACTCCGGTCTTTATACTAAAACTACAAAAATTAGCTGGGTGTGGTGGCGCATGCCTGTAATCCCAGCTACATGGGAAGTGGAGGCAGGAGAATCTCTTGCATCTGGGAGGCGAGATTGCAGTGAGTAAGTAGAGATCACACCATTGCACTACAGCCTGGGTGACAAGAGTAAACCTCTGTCTCAAAAAGAAAAAAAAATGTCCGGGAGCAGTGGCTCATGCCTGTAATCCCAGCACTTTGGGAGGCCGAGGCGGGTGGATCACCTGAGGTCAGGAGCTCAAGACCAGCCTGACTAACATGGTGAAACCCCATCTCTACTAAAAATACAAAAAATTAGCCAGGTATGGTGGCAGGTGCCTGTAATTCTAGCTACTCGGGAGGCTAAGCCAGGAGAATCGTTTGAACCCAGGAGGCGGAGGTTGCAGTGAGCTGAGACTGTGCCACTGCACTCTAGCCTGGTCAACAGAGTGAGGCTCCGTCTCAGAAAAAAAAAAAAGGATGAAACCAGGTGTGGTGGCTCATGCCTGTAATCCCAGCACTTTGGGAGGCCGAGGTGGTGGATCACCTGAGGTCAGGAGTTTGAGACCAGCCTGGTCATCATGGTGAAACTCTGTCTCTACTAAAAGTACAAAAAATTAGTTGGACATGGTGGTGGACACCTGTCATCCCAGTTGCTTGTGAGGCTGAAGCAGGAGAATCGCTTGAACCCTGGAGGCAGAGGTTGCAGTGAGCTGGGATCATGCCATTGCATGCCAGCCTGGGTGACAGAGCATCACTCCATCTCAAAAAAAAAAAAAGGAAATGATTAGGCCGGTACATTTTATATTATGCATTGTTTCCCAGAATAACAAAAATTTTAAGGAAATCACCACTACATGAGACACCTAACAAACTGTCCCAGGAGAGGGATGATGTTTATTCTGTGAGCTCTGAGAGGGGAGACAGGAGCCAGTCGGCTGCCACTGAGTGCTCCAGCTGGCCCGCAGAGCCCCAGGATGGATGCTGCACCTGAGGTGGGGCTGGCCTTGGAGACTTCTGGGGCCCCTTCCATCTCAGAGGTCTGAAGGATTTGAGCTGAGTTAGGTCAGCAGATGCTAGAACTTTCCATTCACAGGCTGTCCAGTTTTTCTCTATTTGAGAAACAGAAACAGGTCAGAAACCAGGGCATGCTCTCATGCTACTAGGAAAACATAACTTGATATAACCTTTATTATTATCATTTATATTATTATTTTAAAATTATTTATTTATTTTTTGACACAGAGTCTCACTCTGTCGCCCAGGCTGGATTACAGTGGTGCGAGCTTGGCTCACTGTAACCTCTGCCTTCCGGGTTCAAGAGATTCTCCTGCCTCAGCCTCCTGAGTAGCAGGGACTACAGGCGCACCCACCAAGCCTGGCTAATTTTTGTATTTTTAGCAGAGACAGGGTTTCATTATGTCAGCCAGGATGGCCTCTATCTCTTGACTTCCTGATCCGCCCACCTCAGCCCCCCAAAGTGCTGGGATTACAGGGGTGAGCCACTGTGCCCAGCCTATTTTTAAAATTTTTTATTTTTTTATTATTGAAATAAGGTCTTGCTATGTTGCCCAGGCTGGTCTTGAACTCCTGCCTCACGAAGTGCTGAGATAACAGGTGTAAGCCACGGTGCCCAGCAAGCACAACCTTTCTGGCAGGCATCCACGACTAAGAACTTAATCCAAAAACACAATCGGCCAAGTGTGTGAAGCGTGTTAGGGAAGAGCACTGTTGTTGTGAACTTCAACCAATGGAGACAGCCTGAGAAAAACCGGTGACGGCTCGGGCTCCGCAGCATTCAGAGGGATGAGACGTCACTCCAGCTAAGGCATGCAAATAGGGTCTGCAGGCAGGGAACATAAGGCCAATTCACACTTCAGCCATGCCAGAAAATATGCTCACCATTTACGTCGTATGCCAAATAAATGGCTTTGTGACTTTACTTCATCCTCTTCATTTACATAGAGCATATACCAAGGAACGATGGAAACTTCTAGTAGGTATTTAAACCCCAGAAAATTCTGTAACGGGGCCCTTGAGTCCCTATGCTTGGCCCTCTCCCACACTGTGAAGTGTCCTTTCATTTTCAATAAATTTCTTCATTCTTTCCTTGCTTTGTGTGTTTTGTCCAATTCTTTGTTCACGACGCCAAGAACCTGGACACCCTCCCCCCTGGTAACACAGCATCAGGCAATAGTGGTATACCTGGGAGGGATGTGGGACAGTTAGTGCAGCAAGGCATGGGAGGCAGGGTTGAGTCTCTCTGAGCTGGGAAGCTCCTCCTTCCAGCCTCTCTCCACAGCCTCACCGCTTCCATTTCCCAAGGCAGACAAGGACTGCCTCAGCCTGGGACAACACGACCTCTCTGTGTCCACACCGACCCACAATTGGCTTAATGTTACTGTCTCACTTCCCAGGAGCCTCTAAAGGGCCCATCTTGGGTCCAATGGCCATTCCTGGGCCAGTCAGCTGTGGCCAGGGGATGGGGCCACATGGCACCCACATGAAGCAAGGCCCATTCTGTAAGTAGGGGCTGTTGAGTGATAGGCACCGTGGAGGTGTCCACACCCACTCCTCAAAGTATGGTCCTGGACCAAGCAATACCACTACATCACTGGGCAGCTGCTTAGCAATACAAAATCCCAGGCCCCACCCCATACCTAAGGAATCAGAATCTGCATTTTATTTATTTTCAATTTTTAAAATTTTTTTGGAGACAGAGTCTCGCTCTGTCACCCAGGCTGGAGTGCAGTGGCACGATCTCGGCTCACTGCGACCTCTGCCTCCTGGGTTCAAGCAATTCTCCTGCCTCAGCCTTCCAGGTGGCTGCGATTATAGGTGCCTGTCACCATGCCCCGCTAATTTTTTTATTTTTGGTAGAGACAGGGTTTCACCATATTGGTCAGGCTGGTCTGGAACTCCTGGCCTTAAGTGATTCACCCACCTCGGCCTCCCAAAGTGCTGTGATTACAGGCATGAACCACTGTGCCCAGCCAAATGTAGTACTTTAAAACAACATACAAATCTGTTTCTGTGGGTAAGGAGTTTGGGTATGGCTTAGCTGGGTGCCTCTGGCATACAGTCTCTCATAGCGCTGCGATCAAATTGTGGGCTGGGGATGCCATTAGCTAAAGGCTCAACTTGGTAGGTATCCCTTCTAAGCTCATGTGTGTGTTGGCAGTCCTTAGGTACTCACTGGCAGCTGGTGAGAGACAGTTCCTCAAAATGTGGGCCCCTTTACAGGGGCAACTGTAGTGGACTGAAGAGTATATCACCCTAAAATTCATGTTCGCACACAAGCTGAGAATGTGACCTTATTTGGAAATAGGGTCTTTGCAGATGTGATTAAGATGAGTTCATACTGGATGATCTTGGGCCCTAAATCCAACCACTGGTGTTTTAATAAAAGGAGAGGACACAGAGACACACAGAGAAGGCCATGTGAAGACAGAGGCAGAGCCTGGAGTGACACAGCCAAAGCATGCTACAGAATGCCAAGGACTGTCTGGAGCCACCAGAAGGAAGGAGTCTTCCCTGTAGTCTTCAGAGGGAACATTGCTATGGCTTTGCTGACCCTTTATTTTTTATTTATTTATTTATTTTTGAGACAGAGTGTCACTGTTTCCTGGACTGGAGTGCAGTGGTGTGGTCATGGCTCACTGCAACTTTTCTGCCCCCTGGTTCAAGTAATTCTCCTGGCTCAGCCTCCAGAGTAGCCACCACTACAACTGGCTAATTTTTTTTTTTTTGTATTTTTTTGTATTTTTAGTAGAGATGGGGTTTCACCATGTTGGCCAGGCTGGTCTCAAACTCCTGACCTCAAGTGATCCGCCTGCTTTGGCCTCCCAAAGTGCTGGGATTATAGGAGTGGGCCACCGTGCCTGGCTTTTGCTGACACATTGATTACAAACTTCTAGCATCTGGAATTTTGAGGATCAATTTCTGTTGTTTTAAGCCACCCAATTTGTGGTAATTTGTTACAGCAGCCTTAGGAACCAAGTGAGCTGGCTTCCTTAAGAGCAAATGAGTAAAAGTCAGAGAGGGCCCCCGATGGAAGCCAGAGTGTTTCTGTAACCTAATCTTGAACATGACACCCCTTCATCGGAAGCAAAGCACTTGATCCAGCCCACCTGAAAAGTAAGGGGATTACACAAGATCATAAATACCAGGAGGTGAGCATCACTGGAGGCTGTGAACCAGGGCTGCCTCACCAGCAAAAAATGGAGGAATTTCATTGGAAGAAACCTCTTCCTTCAGAGTTCTGCCTTCTCCATTCATTGATTCCTTCAATAGATGAATTTATTAAGGACCTACAATGGACTGGGTATTAGGGGCATATGAACAGTAAGACAAATAAGATTCTTTCTCTTGTTGAGATTATTAAGTTATAAGATAATAGGAACATCTGATTTACATTAGGAAAGGAGGATATGGGCAAGGCATGTCTTTCTAAAAAAACATTATCAAGAATGAAGCTGAGGCCAGGCGTGGAGGCTCACACCTGTAATCCCAGCACTTTGGGAGGCCGAGGTGGGCGAATTACCTGAGGTCAGGAGTTCATGACTGCCCTGGCCAACATGGCGAAGCCCTGTCTCTACTAAAAATACAAAAATTCGGTGTGCCTATAATTCCAGCTACTTGGGAGGCTGAGGCAGGAGAATTCCTTAAACTCAGAAGGTGGAGGTTGCAGTAAGCTGGGATAATACCATGGCACTCACAGAGCAAGACTGTCTCAAAAAAAAAAAAAAAAAAAGTAAAGTTGACGAATGAGTAGAAATGAGGCTGTGTGTGTGTGTGTGTGTGTGTGTGTGTGTATGTGTGTGTTAGGAGGGAAGGGAAGAGTGAGTTTCTAGGTAGTGGGAAAGCATGTGCAAATAAGCCAGTAAGTTGAGCAGCTAGACTAAAAGCTGCTTGAGGGCAGGGACCTTGTCTCTTCATCTCTGCATCTCTATTACACAACACAGAGCCTGGCAGAGAGAGAGAAATTCTTACTGGATGAAATGAATGAATAAATCCAAGGCATCTTCTATAGGTTGGTACAAAAACAATTGCAATTTTTGCCATTACTTTTGTTTTTTTTTCTCTTGTTATTTTTGCCATTACTTTTAAATGGCAAAAACCACAATTACTTTCGCACGCATATTTCCTGTTACAGATGTCAATTCAAGTCATTTGAAAATTTTCTCTCAAAGTTCAACAGTGGATAATTGCTCTTACTCACATTAGGTAGCATAGGCAAAGCTGCTAGAATAAAAGACTCAAAGTACGTAAAAGGTCAACACAAGTTTGTTTATTCCCACATAACAACAATGAGTTGATATTCAGGTCAGTAAGGCACAGTTCTCCTCCACTCAGGAATCTCCCATCTTCAGGCCTTGCCTTCTCCAGAGCCTGATCACCAACTGCTTCCAGTTGGCAGAAGGAGTAAGAGCATAGGCAAACACCTGTTGGAGGTCTGTATGGGCCAGGCCTGGAAACTGCGCACACCTCTTCTGCTCACTTTCCACTGGGGAGAGCACAGGCACACAGACACGCTTATTTTACTTGAGGAATGCAGTGTTGGTGTATGACCGACAAAAAAAACCAGTAATTCTGGTAGACAACTAAGTCTCCACTCCAATATTCAATTACTTACTTGACTATGTCTCAAATTAACCTAGATAGAAAAGAACTCTGAATCTTTCACCTCCATAAAATCTTTTACTCACTGAATGGCATCATTATCCATCTAGTTGCTTAAACATACATGTGAAAGTTATCCTCGGTCTGTTTCTTATCCTCCCCTTCCACATCTAATCCTTCAGGAAGTCCTGACAACGTTACCTCCAAAACATGTCTTAAATCCATCTTCTCAGCCAGGCACCGTGGCTCACACCTGTAATCCCAGTACTTTGGGAGGCCAAGGCAGGTGGATCATTTGAGCTCAGGAGTTGGAGAGTAGCCTGAGAAATGCGGAGAAACCCCGTCTCTACAAAAAATTAGCCAGGCATGGTGGCATGAGCCCCTAGTCCCAGCTACTTAGGAGGCTGAGGTGGGAGGATCACTTGAGCTCAGGAGGTCTAGGTTGCAGTGCGCTGTAATCACGCCACTGCATTCCAGCCAGTGAGACCCTGTTTCAAAAAAAAAAGAAAAAAAATCCATCTTTTTTTTTTT